GCTGCTGTCAAAGCGTTTAAATCGAATTGACCTAGCCCGTTTTTTGAAGTATAGATAAAAATATATATCGTGCTCTCCAACAGAAATAATTATATATATATATATATATATATATAATTATATATATATATATATATATATATATATATATATATATATATATATATATATATATAATTATTTCGGTTGAAGAGCACGATATATTTTTTATTTATACCTCAAAAAATGGGCTATGTCAACTCTCTTTCTCTCTCTGTCTCTCTCCACACACACACAGACACATACACACACACACAGAGTACTAAAATGTGCATAGGATAATTTGAGAGGTAGCCATAACAATGTTCAGTCATGATTATTAATACCCTAGAAAAAGAAAGATTTTCTTTTATCTCTAGATACCAGTATAAGAATTGGAGCATTGCATAAGCAAATTTAGCCTTAATATCTACACATTGCAAACATTCTAGGCCCCAATTGAGCTGCGGATAAAATGTCAAAATTGACCAAATTGTAAAAGCAACTCCTGGAGGCAGGCGACTCCAATGAAACATCTGCTTTGAGACATATTTCCAAGCTCTTGTTCTTTTCTTCCTTTTTCCTCACATGCAGAAAATACAGTCCTCAGCTTACAACCACAGTTGAGCCCCAAAATTTCTGTTGCTAAGCAAGACAGTGGCTAAGTGACTTTTGCCCCCATTCCACACGGAGACCCGGTCTTTCCATCAAGCCTAACTACCACTTTTTTTTTAACAGTTGTTAAATGACTCACTGCAGCTCTTAAATTAATCACACGGTCCTTAAGTGAATCCGGCTTCCCCCATTGACTTTGCTTGTCAGAAGATCCCAAAAGCTGAACACACACTGCAACTGTCTTAAGTACGAGTCAGTTGCCAAGCGATTGAATTTTGATCACGTGACTACGGGGATGCTGCAATGGTCGTGTGAAAAATGGTCATACGTCACTTTTTCAGTGCTGTTGTAACTTCGAACGGTCACTAAATGAACAGTTATAAGAACCAGCAGTAACAGCTAACATGACATCTAACATTGTACTTTTCAGTATATCTGTGATGAAGCAGAAACATCTCAGAAGGTGCTACAGCGGGGTCTTCAAACTTGGGCCTTTTATGACTTGTGGACTTCAACTCCCAGAATTCCTCAGCCAGCATGTCTGGCTGATGGATTCTGGGAATTGAAGTCCACAAGTCATAAAAGGGCCAAGTTTGAAGACCCCTGTGCTACAGCAATGTAGGCTTATCCATTGGATGTCCAGCCTTCTTTAAAAAAAAAAAAAAAAATTGGCTCCATTCTCAGAATTGGCCAGAATTTTATAAATAATTATATAAGGATGTTTCTAGGAGAGAAACATCCTTATATAATTATTTGAATCAATCAACTCAGAAATAATAAGTCCCTCTTCCTTAATGGATCATTTTCTCAGGTAGCAAGTTTAGAATTGCAGGTTACATTAACAGAAAAGGGAGGAAAAACAAGTTGCAAAAAAAAAAAAAACAATGTCACGTTATAAAGTCTACACTTCTTGAACCAGAAAAATGAAGGTCGTGGTGTTTGTTTAGAAAGGGCCCAAAGGTTAACAGCGGGAGAGCTCCTTTGAATTAAACAAATAATTTTTTGTTAGGAGGAATAAGGTCTGGGAAGAAGTGTTCCAAATGTAAGGAGCTAGTGAGGTGGTAACACCGACTAATGGTGGAAGAGAACACAGAGAAGGGGGGGGGGTGTCAATCTATTCTCCAAGGCACCTGAAGGCAGGACAAGAAGCAACGGATGGGATCTAACCAAAGAGAGAAGCAACCTGGAACTAAGGAGAAACTTCCTGACAGTGAGAACAATTAACCGGTGGAACCACCTGTCTCCAGAAGCTGTGAATGCCCCAACACTGGAAGTTTTTAAGAAGAGACTGGACAGCCATTTGTCCAAAATGGTATAGGGTTTCCTACCTGAGCAGGGGGTTGGACTAGAAGACCTCCAAGGTCCCTTCCAACTCTGTTATTCTGTGGTCAGAAAAGGACGATAAGAAAGAAGGAAGCAGCAAATGCACTTCAGTTAATCATAAATTCAGGGATTTTAGATTGTAGACTGAGGAGCTCTGATGCAACGGGTGAATCGGCAGTCATTGCAGGAGAAAGAGTGGCAAAACTGGGGGCAACGTCAAAAGAGGAATCAGCTTTGAATCTCTACATAGCCACAAACCGGACTTTCCTTGAATTTGGTGGACCTTTATCTAACTCCAAGCCAGTGCTAACCCTTAGCTGAGAAGATTCCTGCGCATCGGGCTGTTTAAGCAATAAATCAGTTTAATTCAGTGTTTTTCAACCTTGACCATTTTAAGGCATGTGGACTTCAACTCCAGAATTCCACAGCCAGCATTGCTGCCTGTGGAATTCTGGGAGTTGAAGTCCACATGCCTTAAAATGGTCAAGGTTGAGAAACACTGGTTTAATTGGACCTTCACATGAGCACCTGACAGTCAATGAAGAATGATGGGACATGGAGGAGAGTGATCAGGAACATGGGTGGGGGAATGAGAAGCAAAAGAGCGAAGTCCATCATGCCATCAATATTATTTAGCACAGGGATGTTGGCATCCTCACAGCAGAGTATAGCAACAATTGATTGCTTGTTGTCGCCAGTGGGTGGGGAGTTCCTTCCTTCCTTCCTTCCTTCCTTCCTTCCTTCCTTCCTTCCTTCCTTCCTTCCTTCCTCCCTCCTTCCCTCCCTCCCTCTTTCCTCTCTCTGTCCATCTTCCTTTCTCTTCTTCCTTCCTCCTTCCCTCCCTCCCTTCCTCCCTCTCTTCCTTTTTTCTTTTCCTTTCCTTTTTATTTTAAATAACCAGATTGTATGAAGAAAAGAAAAGATCTCTTTGTTTTGCATTTTTGTTCTACATTTTTATTAAATCCTGTTCACTTTAAGAAACTGAAGGTGCAGTTAAGAAACAGCCTGGCCTCGAACTTTGTGTTTTGCTTGTAATTATTTGAAACAGACAGTTATTTTATCACGTTTTGTTTCCTAAAGAGACAATATTTGCAAAATGTACACTTTAAAAAAAGGGCTGGACTTTTTTGGACTGTGCAGAAATGGACAGACTTACATTGAAAATGAAAGAGAGAGAAGATTCAGAATACTTCAGAGTCATTTTATCAATGGCTAGAAAAACGAGGTAGAGCAGTGGTTCTCAACCTTTCTAATGCAGCGACCCCATAATACAGTTCCCCATGTTGTGGTGACCCCCAACCACTTATACATCACTGGGTGCCAGGGGCGTGGACAAAGAAAAGGGGAAAAAAATGGCGGACAGCCTTGTTTGGCGACCCCCGTGAAATGGTCGTTCGACCCCAAATGGGGTCCCGACCCACAGGTTGAGAACCACTGAGGTAGAGAGAAAGGAGCTTCGCATGTATTAGTAAACTAAATATTGGAACCCAGACAACACGTTGCTTTTAAAATATTAAGGATTTGTGATTATAAAAAAATTAATCAAATATTGTTTAAAAAAAAGCCTGGGCAGATATTAACGGGGAAAAAAAACACACTTAACCACAACTGAACAATTTCCCATGAAATTGCTCATCAGATTTCTATCCAAACAGACGTGATCGGCACTCCAAAATCATGGAAGGACTAACTGGATTTCAAACTTCACCCAATGGCTTGAAGCAATTCTTTCCAGGTTAAGTGTAACGCCATATATATCCTTAAATGTATGTTTGGAGAGCAAATAAACATTTATACCTTTAAAGATAGAAATGGCAGATTCACTGCAGATAGGGAAAGGGACAGAATTACAGCGTGCAAACAGGGGAAAGTGATGCAGGCCAGAAATGATATATTTCTGGGTTGAGCGTACTACTGGTTTTAATGGTTCAAGCACAATTAATTCTGTACAGTCTGGCGAAGAGTAAATTGTAACTCCTCCCCCCCGCTGTAATCCCAATCTTAGTTTTAGGAGTTTATTTTATTGGTGAGCCGTGCAGGTAGTCCTTGACTTACAACCATCCATTTAGTGACCATCGAAGTTACAGTGGCACTAAAAAAATGACTTATGACTTGTTTTCCACACTTACGACTATTGCATGATCAAAATTCAGAAACTTGGCCACTGACTCATATTTATGACTGATGCCGTGTCCTGGCGTCACTTGATCCCCTTTTGTGACCTTCTGACAATCAAAGTGAAGTGGGGGCGGGGGAAGAGCCAGATTCACTTCACAACCGTGTTTTACTGACTTAACAGCTGCAGTGATTCATTTCACAACTGTGGCAAGAAAGGTTGTAAAATGGGGGTAAAACTCACTTAACAGCTGTCTTGCTTATAAATATATCTGGATGAACAATTATATTGTTTGTCATATATGTGTTGTTGTTAGTTGTGAAGTCGTGTAAGATCCATCGCGACTCCATGGACAACGTTCCTCCAGGCCTTCCTGTCCTCTACCATCTTCTGGAGTCCATTTAAGCTCACACCTACTGCTTCAGTGACTCCATCCAGCCACCTCATTATTCTCTGTCGTCCCCTTCTTCTCTTGCCCTGCATCTTTCCCAGCATCAGGCTCTTCTCCAGGGAGTCCTTCCTTCTCATTAGGTGGCCAAAGGACTTGAGTTTCAACTTCAGGATCTGGCCTTCTAAAGAGCAGTCGGGGTTGATCTCCTCCAGGACTGACCGGTTGGATCGCCTTGCAGTCCAGGGGACTCGCAGGAGTCTTCTCCAGCACCATAGTTCAAAGGTCTCCATTCTTTGTCGCTCAGCCTCTCTTATGGTCCAACTTTCACAGCCATGCATTGCAACTGGGAAAACCATGGCCTTGACTATACGCACTTTTGTTGGCAGGGTGACGTCTCTGCTTTTTAGTATGCTGTCTAGATTTGTCATAGCTTTCCTCCCCAGCAGCAAGCGTCTTTTTCGTCATATATATAAGAATATAATTATTGTGTTATATAATGAATATATCTGAATGAATTCTCTTTCTGTCGTCCCTAAGGTAAACTGAACAGTCAAGATTCTTACAACAATTTCACCAACAATAATCCGGGAAACCCTCGCCTGTCCCCACTCCCAAGTCTCACCGTGATGGTGCCTCTTGCTCAGATCAAACAACCCATGACTCTGGGAACCATCACGAAACGTACGGGGTAAGTGGATTGGTTTTAAGTGGTGATTTGTCTATCTCCCTTCCTTCCTTCCTTCCTTCCTTCCTTCCTTCCTTCCTTCCTTCCTTCCTTCCTTCCTTCCTTCCTTCCTTCCTTCCTTCTTTCTCATCTTTCTTCTTCCTCTTTCCCATCTCCTTCCTTCCTTCCTTTTTTCCTTCCTTCTCTTTCTCATCTCCTTCCTTCCTTCTCTTTTTCTCATATCATCATCATCATCATCTCATCATCTTTCTCATCTCCTTTCTTCCTTCTCTTTCTCATCTCCTTACTTTCTTCCTTCCTTCTCTTTCTCATCTTCCTTCCTTCCTTCCTTCCTTCCTTCCTTCCTTCCTTCCTTCCTTCCTTCTCTTTCTCATCTCCTTCCTTCCTTCTCTTTCTCATCTTCCTTCCTTCCTTCCTTCCTTCCTTCCTTCCTTCCTTCCTTCCTTCCTTCCTTCCTTCTCTTTCTCATCTCCTTCCTTCCTTCTCTTTCTCATCTTCCTTCCTTCCTTCCTTCCTTCCTTCCTTCCTTCCTTCCTTCCTTCCTTCCTTCCTTCTCTTTCTCATCTTTCTTATTCCTCTTTCCCATCTCCTTCCTTCCTTCCTTCTCTTTCTCATCTTTCTTATTCCTCTTTCCCATCTCCTTCCTTCCTTCTTTCTCTTTCTCATCTCCTTCCTTCCTTTTTTCCTTCCTTCTCTTTCTCATCTCCTTCCTTCCTTCTCATCTCCTTCCTTCCTTCTCATCTCCTTCCTTCCTTCTCTTTTTCTCATATCATCATCATCATCATCTCATGATTTTTCTCATCTCCTTTCTTCCTTCTCTTTCTCATCTCCTTCCTTTCTTCCTTCCTTCTCTTTCTCATCTTCCTTCCTTTCTTCCTTCCTTTCTTCCTTCCTTCCTTCCTTCCTTCCTTCCTTCCTTCTCTTTCTCATCTCCTTCCTTCCTTCTCTTTCTCATCTCCTTCCTTCCTTCCTTCCTTCCTTCCTTCCTTCCTTCCTTCCTTCCTTCCTTCCTTCCTTCTCTTTCTCATCTCCTTCCTTCCTTCTCTTTCTCATCTCCTTCCTTCCTTCTCTTTCTCTCCTTCCTTCCTTCCTTCTCTTTCTCATCTCCTTCCTTCCTTCTCTTTCTCTCCTTCCTTCCTTCCTTCTCTTTCTCATCTCCTTCCTTCCTTCTCTTTCTCATCTCCTTCCTTCCTTCTCTTTCTCATCTTCCTTCCTTCCTTCCTTCCTTCCTTCCTTCCTTCTTTCCTTCCTTCCTTCTTTCCTTCTTTCCTTCCTTCTTTCTCATCTCCTTCCTTCCTTCTCTTTCTCATCTCCTTCCTTCCTTCCTTCTCTTTCTCTCCCTTCCTTCCTTCCTTCCTTCCTTCCTTCCTTCCTTCCTTCCTTCCTTCCTTCCTTCCTTCCTTCCTTCCTTCCTTCCTTCCCAGAAAAGCCTGTTCAATATGGCCTATGATAAAGTTTTCAGAGGAATCTGAACATTTCAATTTTTAATTATGTTTTCTCAAATTTTCATTTTCCTTACTTTTAGTTTATGTATACTTTCTTTACTCTTAGCCTGTCATTACTTTGAAGCTTGGTATATCCTACTGAGTTATTAAAAAAAATAGATCTGCTTTGAATCGTTCAAAGCTTTTAAACATTCGATAAATCAGATGATTTATTTGTTTAATACTTTGCCTCTTTTTGGGCACATTTGCTTTCCCAAAGCATCTTAAAACTGGTTGGAAAAGGAATATAGGTAGTCCTTGACTTGCAACCATTCAGAGTTACAACGGCACTGAAAAATGTCACTTGTGACCGTTTTTCACACTTAACAACCGTTGCAGCATCCCCAGGGTCACATGATCAAAATTCAGACACCTGGCAACTGACTCATATTTATGACGGTCGCAACATCCCGGGATCATGCGATCCCCTTTTGCAACCTTTTGACCAGCAAAGTCAATGGGGAAGCCGGATTCACTTAACAACCGTGTTTCTATCTTAACAACTGCAGTGATTCACTTAACAACTATGGCAAGAAAGATCATAAAATGGGGGCAAAACTCACTTAACAACTATCTTGCTTAGCAACATAAATTTTGGGCTCCATTGTGGTCACAGGAAGAGGACTACCTGTATTGGCAAGACATTGCTGAATTTCAAGCACTTGATTGACATCTTCCTGAACTATAGAAAATGAGTAATTACAACTTCATGTAATAATTAGTAGCTGATGAAGCCATTATTTAAGAAGTGAGATAAAATGAATCAGAACCAACTAAATCCAAGTTTTTAAAACTTCTCCAAACAAGCTAAAAGAATAGAATAGAATAGAATAGAATAGAATAGAATAGAATAGAATAGAATAGAATATGAAATGGAATGGAATGGAACGGAACGGAACGGAACAGAACAGAATAGAAAATATGGAATGGAATAGAATAGAATAGAATAGAATAGAATATGAAATGGAATGGAATGGAATAGAATAAGAATAGAATAGAATAGAATAGAATAGAATAGAATAGAATAGAATAGAATAGAATGGAATGGAATGGAATGGAATGGAATGGAATGGAATGGAATGGAATAAAATAGAATAGAGTAGAGTAGAATAGAATAGAATAGAATAGAATAGAAAATATGGAATGGAATGGAATGGAATAGAATAGAATAGAATAGAATAGAATAGAATAGAATAGAATATGGAATAGAATAGAATAGAATAGAATAGAATAGAATAGAATAGAATAGAATAGAATAGAATAGTGGGGGAAAGAGGCAAGAAGATGACAAGCAACAAGGAAAAAAGAGAACTATTTAACTTGTTTATTGCATCTGTTTTTACACAAAGGGAAAAAACAGTCCAACCTATCAAAAACAGTACCATAAAAAACACAAGTTAAGGTAGGCAAGAAAATCGTAAGTGAGCACCTGTCCAGCCTAGACGAGTTCAAATCATCAGGACCAAATGGATTACACCGCAAAGTTCTCAAGGAACTGACAGATGTGATCTCAGAACCACTGAACTATATTTTTCAAAGATCCTGGAGCACTGGGGAATTATTGGAGGACTGGAAAAGAGCTGATGTAATTCCCATCTTCAAAAAAAGGGGGGGGGAAATAGATCCAGAATAGAATAGAGCTGGAAGGGACCTTGGAGGTCTTCTAGTCCAGCCCCCCCCCTACTCAAGCAGGAGAATCTATACTATCTCAGATAGGGGACTGTCTAGTCCAGTGGTTCTCAACCTTTTTAATGCTGCAACCCCCAACCGGTCGTAAGTCGAGGACTACTCAACTGGTCGTAAGTCGAGGACTACTCAACTGGTGCAGCACCGTTTGCAGAATGGGACTTTTGGCGGGCTCAGCGGGGCAGAAACAGCCTGGACAATTCCTATTGGCTTTTGAAAGCCAATAGAATTAGACTCTATTCAAGAGAGTCTATTCTATTGGCTTTCAGAAGCCAATAGAATAAAAGGGAGTAGCACAGCTAAGGAAAAGGGGGAAAAAAAATGGCGGACTGCGTTGTTTGGCGACCCCCATGAAATGGTCGTTCGACCCCAAATGGGGTCCCGCCCACAGGTTGAGAACCACTGGTCTAGTCTCTTCTTAAAAATCTCCAGTGATGGAGCGCCCATGATTTCTGGTGGCAAGCTGTTCCACTGGTCGATTATCCTCACTGTTAGGGAATTTCTCCTTAATTCCGGGTTGCTTCTCTCTTTGATCAGTTTCCAACCATTGTTTCTCGTCCTTCCCTCTGGTGAACAACTTGACCCCCCTCTTCTTCGTGGCAGCCCCTCAGATACTGGAACACTGCTGTCATTCCCCCCCCCCCCGTTTCTTCTTTTCTTTAGACTAGCCAAACCATTTGCCCAAGGAGTCATATTTTTAAAATGTTCTGTTATTGTTTATGCCCAGTATACATTGACCTTGTCTTCAGCATAGCTCATAACAAATACAGGTAGCCCTCAAGTTAACAACAGTTCGTTTAGTGACCGTCCAAAGTTACAACAGATTGAAAACAATGCGACTGGTGACCGTTTTTCACTCTTACGGCCGTTGCAGCATCCCCACGGTCGTGTGATCCAAATCCAGACGCTTGGCAACTGACATGTATGTACGACGGTTGCAGTGTCCCAGAGTCACGTCATCCCCTTTTGTGACCTTTTGACAAGCAAACATCAATGGGGAAGCCAGATTCACTGCTAATTTGTTTGTCGTGCCCGTCTTTTTTTTTCCATTCGGGGATTCGGCTTTCTTCGTCCTTCATTTTTTTTGCATCCTCCGTGCAAAGCCAAACCAAGCTCTGTGGGACATCTGCCCACCTCGCCCTGCTCCATCATTCCATGGTTTGTTTGTTTTTTTGCTCTTTTCCCCAAAACAGGAAAGATAAGGTGGATTAAAGGGCCTCCTTGCGTGTCAAAATGCCTGGTGTTTCTCCCAAAAGCCACAGGACTGACATGCCTCCGTGTCTCTATGAAGCAGCTCCAGATTTGATCACGCGTAATTTCCCTCGTCTGCTTCAGGATGCTAGTCAAGTTCAGAGTGTCTTTCTTTCTTTCTTTCTTTCTTTCTTTCTTTCTTTCTTTCTTTCTTTCTTTCTTTTTTTCTTTTTCTTTTTTGGGGGGGGACAATTTTTCTGGATTTCCAAGGCTTGAATTGTTAACCTTCCGGATTTGTAAAAGAAAAGAAAAAAAGAGAAGGGAAACGTTCCGCTGGAAACTGATCAAGGAAAGAAGCAATCTAGAACTAAAGAAACATTTCCTTACAATGGGAACAGTTAGAACAGTGGTTCTCAACCTGTGGGTCGGGACCCCATTTGGGGTCGAACGATCATTTCACGGGGGTCGCCAAACAACGTAGTCCGCCATTTTTTTCCTCTTTACCTTAGCTGTGCTACTCCCTTTTATTCTACTGCAGTGGTTCTCAACCTTTTTAATGCTGCGACCCCCAGCCGGTTGTAAAGTCGAGGACTACTCAACCGGTCGTAAGTCAAGGACTACTCAACTGGTGCAGCACCGTTT